TCAGGAGCCTCTTCCAGGTCTCCCACACTGGTGCAGGGTCCCAAGGCTTTGGGCCATCCTCAACTGCTTTCCTAGGTCACAAGCAGGGAGCTGGAAGGGAAGCAGGGCCACCGGGATTAGAATTGGCACCCACATGGAATTCTAATAATGATGTACACCATCACAAGATGTACATGGCATCTGTGAGTACACCGGGGGGTCGGGGCAGACACGTCACAAGCGCCGTGACGAGGAAGTGGCGTCTTGCTGACCGTTGACTGCTCTGTGCATCTGTGCTGAGGGCCTGGCTGTGTCGAGGCTTTGGGGTTCACCTGTTTCCTTCCCCCACCTGGGACGAGCCTTCATGGCAACCTTAGAGCAGAGAGGGGATCTTTTGGAACTGTTTTGGTGGAGAAGCAAGTGCAACAGTGTAAGATCACTGCTGTGTTTGAGATCATCTGAGGGAAGTAAGTGCCTTTTGCGGTGGTTTTTTTTTTTTTAAGAAGCATCGTTAGAGAAACTGCTGTAGGAGAGAAGGAGAGAGAGATACACCAGTCCTTCCCACTAGACTTATTCCAGGCTGTTGGCTCTAAGTCTGAAAGAATTGAAAGAAAAATGTAGATAATGGAAAGCCCTGCAAAAATTTAAGTAAATCACAGAGGAAATGCGTACTTAGGATGGACAGGCAGCCTCAGGAGAAAAGGAGCACTGCAATCTGTAGGGCTTGGAACGATGAAGGTGGCGCTCTGCATCGGGCGTGAGGGCCTGTGTAAAGGCAGTGCAGCTTGGGCGGATTTAAAGTGCATTTCTTCATTTCTGGGAGTCTCACGGCGTGTGGTGCGTGTCTGGCTACAGAACACACATTGGGATTTAGGAAGTGCCATGGTGTCTGTGCATGATAGGGAATGGGTGTGCCATCTGCAGCCATCAGCATGCAAAGGGGTGGGGTTTGGTTTTTCCTCAACTTCTCCTGGCTTCCTCCCTAACTACGTCAAAACTGATTCTTAGAAGTACAAAAAAATAAATAAATAAATAAAAAATAAAAACCCACAGTTCCTTGAAGTTGATTACCTTTTTGGTAGTAAAAACGTAAAAGCATCCAGTGTGGCTCCCTTAAAACTTAGGAACCACAAAATCTTATTCGGCACTGAAGGCATTATGTTTAAATTATGTTTTCATTTCAGATTAATCAAACCTGTATACAGTAGTAGGGAGAAATGAACCAAGCAAAAAAAGTCAAAGGAAAAAGTCTTAGAACCAAGCAAAGATAAGAGAAAAAAATGTCAAAGATTAGGGGGGGGAAAAAGCCAGAAGAAGGTTGGAAGAGAATGGTGTTAAGGAGCTAAGTGGAAGGCCAGGGGCTGGAGACTCCTCCCTAGCACTGCAGAGAGCGTGTGCCTGTCACACTTGGGTTGGAGTTGCACTCTGTATACACAGAGTGTTTACATTGTTGTGAGCAGGGGTTGGCTTACTGTGGATTCCGAGTACCTAGCACACACACAGCAGCTCTAAGAACGATTAACCAAATAGGCGGGCAGAGGAGCAGAGAGAAGGCAAGAATCTCTTAGCCCATGTGGCTCTGGTGGGGTTCCCTGAGAGCTGCCACTGTTTCCTCAAAAGCAAGACGCTGGGGAGTGCCTGGTGGCAGCTCCTGGGATGCCTGCAACAGCCTTTCTTGGAATGCAATTTCACAAACTCTCACCCATGTTCTCCTTGGCAGAGAAACGGAGTGCTGGGCATTGAAACAACATGGTTTCTCAATTTCCTTTGAAAACTTTCTCAGAGTTGATGTTTGCCCATGCCTCCTCCACACTGGGTTTCACCTTGTCATCTGAAGCCCAATCGTCTTGGGAAGCAATGCCCTGGCTGCCATCCATAAGGCATGAGCAAGGACCAGTGTGCCTCTCCCAGATGCTGCCTTCTTGGCTCTCCTGCCAGAGCCCCTTTTTCATCACAGACCTCGGCTCTCACTGGGCATGGCCACCTCATCCACCCCAGCTGCTGACTTCCCCAGAGTGACATCAAGGCCCTGTGCACAATTCATCAGAAAAATTAGCTTCCTCAAAATCCATGGCTTTTTTCAATTGGGCTAAAATATGCATAAAATGTATGCCATTTTAAGTATTGTTTTGTGGCCTTAAGTATATTTCATGTTGATGTCCAAGCGTCACCCCCTGTCCTCAGAACATCTCCCGTTCCCTACTTCAAACTCTGTTCCCATTTAACACTGACTGCCCAAGTTCAGTGTTACATACAGTTAACACTGATAAAACATTGTTACCTGGGCCTGGCATGGTAGCCTGGTGGCTAAAGTCCTCACCTTGCACACATTGAGATCCCATATGGGCGCCAGTTCTCATCCTGGCAACCCTGCTTCCCATCCAGCTCCCTGCTTGCGGCCTGGGAAAAGTAGTAGAGGACATACCCAAAGTCTTGGGACCCTGCACTAGTGTGGGAGACCTGGAGGGGGCTCCTGGCTCCTGGCTTCGAATTGGCTCAGCTTTGGCTATTGCAGCCACTTGGGGAGTGAATCAGCAGATGGAAGATCTCTCTCTCTCTTCCTCCTCCTCCTCCTCTCTGTGTATCTGACTTTCCAATAAAAATGAATACATCTTTAAAAAAATTGTCCCCCAGAAGGTTTACTTCCTGAAATTGTGCTACTTCCAGAGTCTTAAATTCTTGTGTTCTGTTTTCTGCCCACAGCCTCTTGTCTTTTCAGCAATCCAGAATGCAGACAGATCTAAGCCTCCTAGCTAATCCACTTGCTGGCTTGGGTTTCATTTGTTAATTCAGCTAATAGGCAATGCTATGGATAATGCAGATACTAGGCAGATAACAGAACCTAACTTCAGCCCATTGATGGGATTAAGAGCTTGCAGAGTACTTAGCCCAGGTCTGTTCTTCATCCTACCAGCTCACACAGGGTGGTTCATACCCACACTTCTTTCCCAGGGGCACTTGACCTCCTGGCTCCATCCAGCTCTGCTCCTGCAGTGCACATCCAGCGCCCCCCCCCCCCCAAGGGGAGAAGAGTGACTTGTGCTCTGCTCCTGGCAAGGCCTGGACTCCCACTGGGTCAGCCCTCTGTGCTGCCCTGCAAAGTTAAAGGTTCCCGCTGCCCTGCCCTACAATAGTCACTGCAGACCTTGCCCCTTGGGAGCATCTCTGCCCTGCCACCTCCTCAGTGGCTGTCATCTCGCTTTGTGCTGCTCAACCTGTGTTAGGAATCATATCCTTTTGCTGAGGTTCAAATTTGGTAAGAGGTGCTAGGGTTGGGATGCACAGCTTTCACAAGCAACTCCAGGGGACTGGCTTGTAAGCCACTCCTTATGGACAGCTGTGCTAGCCAAGAGCTCCTGAGAGCAGACAGAGGATCTTATCTGACTTTGCTCCCTAAGTACTTGATAATAGATGTTGAAGGATTGATTGAATGAAACTGTCACTCTGCACTTCAGAGTTAAGTGACTGTTCGCTTTTGAAATGCTAATTAGCTACAGCTGGTTAAATGCCATTTCAAATTCTTCAGTGTGTTTTATCTTTAGTCCTTTATTGGCCCTTTTCAGGGCACTGGGGATAGGCAACTAAAAAGAACATGTCACGCTCCTGACCCAGCAACACTAATGAAAAGCCCCTGGCAAGGCCACCCGTAAGACTGCCAATGGCAGTAGCCCAGACACACTCACTGGGCCTTGCCACTGGGTGGCAGAGAAGGAGAGGACTCTAAGGCACACCCATCCACACCATCCCAGCTAAGGTAAAATGCAAAGAGCCTTTTGTTTTTTTAATTGGCAAGTCAGATATACAGAGAGGAGAGACAGAGACAGAAAGATCATCCGTTGCTGGTTCACTCCCCTAGTGGCCGCAACAGCTGAAAATCCCAAGCCAGGAGCCAGGAGCTTCTTCTGGATCTCCCACACTGGTGTAGGGTACAAAAGCTTTAGGTTATCCTCTACTGCTTTCCCAGGCCATAAGCAAGGAGCTGGATGGGAAATGGAGCAGGCAGAATATGGACCAGTGCCCATATGGGATCCCAGCGCATGCAAGATGAGGATTTAGTCTCTAGACCGCACCAGCCATGGAATGGAAAGAATCTTAAGCAAAAAAACTCATTGCCTGGTATGTCAGGAGAAGGTGCCTGAGAGAAGCAAGTGGATAGATCGAGATAGACTGATTGACCAGTGAGTGGTAAAAAGCCTTCCAGACCCAGCTGTGCCCTTGGCATACTTGGAACTTGGTCCATTGAATCATTGGAGCCTCTTGTTTCCTTATAGTGAAATGGGGATGATGTGATACAATTTGCAGGTCTCTACTGGGGATTGAAAAATGAGCAATGACTCTAGGATATTAGGCAACCAGGCAGGGATTTCAGCACAACTGAGTCTCTCCTGTGATGGAGGGGACACCTACCCCAGTCCACCTAAAAGCAGCTGTTGGCACAGAGAAGTTTGAGTCTTGATACCTCAGCCAGTTGTGATATAGTGTTTCCCAATGGAGTTGATGAGTGACCTATGCCGTGTGGCCCACTCTGCTCTTCTTGAACGGGGCCTGGAGGCAGGCAGGGCTAGAGCGTGGGAGAGAGACCAGCGTGGGTGGCTGGAACGGAAGCTCGTCTTTTACCACCCTCCCGCCCAGCTACCCATCTCTTCTGTGCCAGGGAAAAGAGCAACAGCTCATGCCGGAGCTGTACCCACACACGGGGATCTGCTCTCTCCAGCCTGCAGCCCCACTTCATCATTCATCAGGATTCATGGGATGCCCACAGGGAGCTGTCAGAAATTCTTCCTCTCCAAGACCTCCCTGGAAGTCTGAAGCAAGTGTGTTCCAAAAGCTGAGTTTTTCCCGACCTTTGGAAGATCCAGGTGTAACCCCTTCGCTCCCACCCCGGCCAGCAAGGAGAGGAGGAAGAGCAGCACCTTTGACTTCAGTGTTATTAATGATAAACACCCATAAACATTCTTGATGGGCTGTCGGGCTCCTTTCCCTACTCACTCCATTGTTTCTGCACATATAATTGCTTTCAGGAGAAGAATCTGGACTGGTTTCCTCGGATGCGAGCCATGTCTCTCGTTAGCAATGAAGGAGACAGTGAGCAAAACGAGATTCGGAACCTGCAGGAGAAGCTGGAATCAACCATGAGTCTGGTCAAGCAGCTGTCGGGTCAGCTGGCAGAGCTCAAGGAGCAGGTCAGTGTCCTTGGGGGCCTTAGAGCTGGGTGGTGTGTGGTTGCCTGCTGCCTTCCAAGACATCTGGAAGCTCCTGGGAGTCAACAGTGGTAAGTGTGCAAAGACCTGAGACGAGTTTAACTTGCTAAATTCACTTGGCCAAGAAAAAGTTCTGACAGGTGGACAGAACCCCACAGCAAAGAAGTTTCTCAGTTCTGTCTGTTCACAGCCAGTGAGCTGCGTTTATAGGGAGATGGGCAGGAAATGACATACAGAGACAGCCTGCTGGGCACAGTCTCGCCTGTGCCGTATTTGGGCATAATCTGACAAGCTTCAGCCTGGGATTGGCCAAGAGTCCAGCTGCTGGGATTGGCTGAGGCCTGTTGCTTAGCTACGAGAGTATCCTCTTACAGGAGGCTACAACTTTCCTGCACTTCCTGCTGGGTGGCAGTTGGCTACATATGGAGAGTGAGTCCTTTGGGCCAACTCATGCTTCAAGTCTGGAGGCTGGTTTAGGCCAGTTCGTTCCAGTTCAGTATTAACCACAGCAGATTAAAAACTCCAGTAAAGAAGCCCCACACTGCTGCAAGACCACGTCTGAGTGAATGAGACTTCAGCTTCCCTCCCTTTATATGGAAAGGAGCAAAACAACCAGTACAAGGAGCTCAATGCACTTTTTTGATTAAAAAAAAAAAGTATATGTATATATATACTTTCAGCCATGAAAGCTGTTCCCAAACTTCTGGGAAAGGCAGATTGCAAAAATATCTGCCGTTTCAATGCTTATCAAACTCCGCAACCTATCACATGGTTAGCGATCATAAAACCAGTCATGATGGTAACCGTGACAGCTATTAAAGTGACTGTGGTGACGGTGATAATTATGTGACAAGCAAGCTCTGTTTTAAAAAGAGCTCTCGTTCCTATTGCCTAACCATACGCCCAACACCACCACCCAGGAGGGGTTTGCTCTTTTACTCTGTTTATGAGAATTCGCTTAAAAAAGATAAATAAACTTGCTTTTTGAAGAGCAGTCTGTCCTATGTGATGCCAGACAGTGGGTGTTGGGGAAGTATTCGCCAGACCGGTTGCGATGTGTGTGCTGGGGAAGGAAGATCAGCTGAACGCTCTCTGTCTTCTCCCCAGATGACTGAACAAAGGAAGAATAAGCAGAGACTAGGCTTCCTGGGGTCAAACTCACCCCATGTGAATCATCACATGCCACCACACTGATACCATGGGGGGAAGCCGTGACCAGCCTTTCATCAGCGGCCTGCCTGATCACTGAACACAAAACAGAGACTGAGGGGAGGAACAGTGCCTATTGTTGCAAAGTCAAAAACAACCAAGTGCCAAGATGTGGAGCGGTTGTGCTCCGAGAACAATCTGTAGCTGTGTTTTCATGGTTGAGAAGGCCCAGGCTAAAGTGCAGCCACCCGAAAGCACACAGCATGCATTCTTAAGGCAACGTGAAGCGACTTGCTCGGGACACTGCCATGGGTAGGAAGAGACTGGGAGAAGAAGACCCGGCATGGCTAGGACTCCCAGCTGCTCAGCGGCCAGGGGTCAGCTGTGTCCGAACACCAGCCGCTACCTACCTCCTACTGGGTTGTTTGGGATTCCCCTCTTTCCCTTGTGGCCTGTGGGTCAATGGCCTAGGAAGTCTCACTTTGGTGGCTGAGTATCACTAAGGTGAAGACATGAAAATATGAAAAATGAGCGTTGCTAAGAAAATTGCTAATGCTTCGAAAGTGTAGCTGCCACGGGGCAATTCCTTTATAACGTGAAGCACAGTGGATTTGCAACTGCAGCGTTGGAGCCTGTACCCCTCATGCTGACAGCATAACTGGAATAGAATTGCCTGCTCCCAGTTTCTCACCAGCTTCGTCACTGTGGAGCACAAATGGAGATGTTCATACAACTGGTTAAGAACTTGTTTTAAGTCACGTAGAGGCTGAAATTGTAAAAAGATTGGGGAAGAAAAAGCGGACAACCACAGGGAAGATTTTTTTTTTGAGAACATGTGTGCATTATTGTATTATTAAATTATATAGCGATCAAGAAATGAAAATGCTTCAGGGGGCCAGGAAATCCCTTGTGACTTGTAACAATGGCACTCCCATCTATAAACACGGAGCAGAATCCTTTGAGTTGTGTTTGCTCTGCTTTGGGAGCCAAGTGTTTTTGTCTTACTCCTGCAGCAGGGGTGAAATGTGTTGAATACCCAAGAAAACACAGCATTTTGGTTGCATATTTAAAACTGTATTGGGAAGGACTTGTCCAAACGTAAGATAGAAATCTCTTCCGCAAATTGTTTTTATGTTAAGTCATGCACTCAGGATTTGCTGGGGGAGAAAATAACCTGACACAATCAGGTTTTTCTTAGGGATCTCCGCTGGGGAAGCTAGAGTACCACCCAGAGAGCGAACATCTTAGGAGAAGTGCTGTGTGGCAAGGAAGCAAAACCATCCCACCAAACTCTGGGAGGCTTTCGGCATGTCGGCCTCACTCGAGGCTGCAGCGGTCTTTAACTTTGAGTGGTTACCATCATGATTCAACAACCCGAGAGGGTGCGGTGAAAAACCGTCGGAGCTCTTAGATTGTTGTAACATAGTTTGAATGTTTGGCTTCCTAAAAAATCCCAAATAATCAAGGTCTGAGTCAAATGCAAAGGAAACCTGAAGCATCCACTCTTCCATATACTGTTAAGATACAGATTCAGAATCAAGCTGGTGGAAGCCAGAGCAAGGAGTTTTCAGTCTGCAGGTACCTTCTCAGGTACCTCTCCACCGGAAGAATTCCTCACTCTGATGTGACTATACGTTTGTTTTTTTCTCTCTGACTAATAGCTGAAGGACCCTATTCTCCAAGATGCAAAGATGCTAAAAATTGTGCTTTATCACATACAGCACAAGTCTTTGAATGTAGCAAGCATTAGGCAATTTGTCTTCAGTTCTTTAATTAAAACTTTAAACTGTATCATGAATTTGTTCTTAAGTGACTTCATCAAAGTTGACTAAAGCAGTCATTTTTCAAATCCCAAGATTGTCATTGCTAGCTATGGTTGTAGATATTGTATTTTATTCAGGCAGAGTTTTTTATATAGGGAAAAAAAAAGAGAAAGGTAATGAATATTGAGCCTTTTCCTAAATAGGAACCTGTCTCCATTTAGTAAATCAGATCTGCCTCTGATGTCTGAACTTAAGGTTGAAGGAATAAATGAACTGATGCAGATGGGAGCAACCTGTCTTTCAGATGACGAGCTATCTCATTTTTTTCACACCACAATGGTTTGTTATAGAGGGAAGAAATCATTGGATCTGAACCTGTCCTCTACAAGTGCCCTAAGGTCTACAGCCATTGTGTCTTAAGCTCACCGTGTCTCAGCATCTTTTGCCCTCCAGAAAATACCCATAAGATGTTGCAATTAATTAGCGAGACCCTTTGTTGATGAAAATTTACACATTTCCCAGTTTTTAATTTAACGCCTCTTTCTTTCCTGCCTAAATACTTCTAGAGAGCATAAAGGTAAATAAACAAAAATGAAGCAAATGAAAAAAACGCTTCCAGGACATGAAATTCACAATGGGAATGGCAATAATGGGGAAACTTGACTTTTGATATACATTTATATTTTGTTATATGCTTGTTCATGTTCATTAATGCAACTGGAATATTTGTCCTAGGTGAATATCAATTAATCCTCATATTTATGTGGTGATATTGCAGTAGGCACAATTGTTTGACTTTATTGAAAATATTTAGCTATTAAAATTTATATTGCCTTAAAAAGATCAATTTTTGCTGAATAACATTTTTAATTTTGAAAGAGTTTTGTTTCCCTCTGTGTTGTACTTTGAGGCTAAGGAGTTTACCACAAATGCATGTGTTACAAATTGAAATATCATTTCTAGGTGAGAAAAATGCTCGTATTACATGGGGCTATCATACTAGTAAATTATATGCATGTAAAAATGTATCCTGTTTTCTGCCTGCTAGAAAAGGTAAGTTGGAAAAAGAACCAGTTTTCTTGCATATTGAAATTTTTTTCTGTTAGTAAAGAGGCTCTGATAATATCGGAGGGTTATTTCAGTTACGTTGGAACTAATTGCATGTTTATCCTCTGTTCTCAGCTCACAACTCAGTGTTTTGACTACCCTTTTTGGTTATCATTGTTTTGTTACTAAGAGTCACGTGTTGTGGTCCAGCCTAGGACTCTGAATGGAGGTAGAGGGTGGGGAGATGGGGAGGAGGGCAAACGTGGAGTCTTCTGCTTCGCTGACTGCAGTTAGCACTAAAGGGCTAAACTTTGATATTGGCAGAAAAGCGCTTACTCTCCGGTGTCCCATAGATGCAATGATGGCACAGGTTCCAGTCCCCAGGGTTGACCCATGACACACACAGAACAATCCGTAGTGCAGCATATTCTCCATAGCTGTTCTTGAAGCTACACAGAGTAACCAGTCAGGCTATTCTAATCCAGAAACCCATTGTCGAGTGGTTCGGTCCAAGGCGTGCACACTGCAGAGAGCGTAGACATCTTCAGCACAAACACAGATGCACACAGCAGTGAGAGGCATGTGCACTCAACAGCTCAAAATCCTGCAAGCAATTCAGATCTTAGAAAATGACCAAGGCTGGTGAAAGTCCTGGTTTGCTGTGCCTGTCTCTGAAGTAATAGTTGATCAAGCTTTCCTGTTTAGTACAAGAAAACACACAAAACCAAAACAGGCAGAGAGCTCCATTGCCCATGAAAGTTGAGACATCTGAAAGCAAATCTGGGCCTCATCTCCAAACTGTAGTTTCCACAGACCTGGATAATTTATTGAAATCAATCATGCTGTCACTTCTCACATCACCAGGTAGGTTTTGTCCCTTGGCCTGCAGGAGAGGATCACCCCTCACAAATGTGACTGTACAGTGGTACATCAAAGCCACACAATTCCCGAGTGTCACTCCTGTGCAGGAGTGTTTGCGTCATTCATGACTTGATGTGTTTCTATATAATATGCTCACTGATAGGAAAAAGTGGTGGTGGTGGTGTTTTACAGTGCAAGGTGGGAGGGGCAATGTATCTGGTGATTTGAACCACATTGATGAGTAACTGACAGGAACTGTCAATTCACTAACACCCACTGGTCGTCCTACGTGGCATCTTGTACCAGGTGACTCCATGGGCTCTGGAGTCAACACACAGGGTGCAAATCACATGCAGTCTAGGAATAGAATTCTTTGTTCATATGGGTAGTTTCCAGGATGCCACAGTTTCCTGAAAGAAGTGTGGCAATGACTGGTTTGGTTTGATTTGGTTTGGAATCAGAGGGAAGCTTAGGGAAGGGCAGCTGGACAATAAGTTCCTCTTCCGGTGAGGCACTGACAGGAAGGGTAGCAGTGGGTGTGTGTGTGGAGGGCAGGGCGGTAGAAATCCACAAGTCATCCTGACTTGGACTAGGCAGCTGCAGGAAGTGTCTAAGGGCTGGAGCTCACACAGCAGCCCTGGGCCAGAAGTCTGTAGTTTTATGACTCCCAGTCCCCCCAGCAGAGGTGTGGGCATGGCATACTGCGTCACATGACCAACAGATGCAGGGAAACAAACTATATGAAAGTAGAAAAATTGTCAAAGTTGAGATCGGTTGTTATCAGTTTAACAGAAAATACTGCTTTGTGACATTCTCGTGCATATCCTGCTCGATTAGCCTGTTTATTTTTGACTTTTGACCTTTTGGCTAACAGCTGCAGGTAGGTCTCTGCCTGGGGTGTAAATGTGGGTTCATCTGCAGTCTAGGACAGGGTGTCTTAGCAACTCTGTTTGCATAGAAAAGGATGCTTTCTGTTGTGTCTGCTTTAAAGTTGTCTCTCTTTTGGATGGTTGTATCTGCCTTTCTGTTTATCATAAACTGCTCCCTCTTCCCTTTCAAACTGGATCAGATGTTTCCTTGTGATCCTGGTCTTCTCATCATGAGACTGAAATAAGGGTTCTGTAACCACAATATCTAGAAATTTGGTCCTGCATTAGATAGATGATAGATAGATAGATAGATAGATGATAGATAGATAGATAGATAGATAGATAGATAGATAGATAGATAGATAGATACATAGATTCATAGATACATAGATACATAGATAATGTCAACTAGGTGACTGTCAGGACTTAGCCAAGGAAACCAGATCACTGTGGGCAGCATGGATGGAGAAGTTTGCTTTAAGGAACAGTTATGGTGGAGGACCCTGAGAATAGCTGGCATTTCTGCATCTGAGGTGATCCTGACATCGCTCTAAGTCAGTGAGTCTAGAAACTGGCAAGAAATGCTAGGCATACATGGGGGAGAGCGAGGACATACTGGAATGCTTGAAGGGAGACTGAACTCTGTAACTTTCACCCTTCCAACCACCATTGTGCAACTGACTTAACAAAGGAAGCCGATGCAGGAGCTGATGAAAAAATCTGATGGCCGCTGTGGAGGCCACAGGCCGCTGTGGTCCCTCAGCAACAAAACAAGGCAGCGTGGGAGCCGCAGCACCTGCTGCATCTGAACTTCATGATTCCTGTTTGTCTTCAACTTTCTAAACCTCATTGAGACAGAATCTGTGGCCTAACCTAACGTGTAACCTGAAAGTGAAGGAATCCTGGAAGTGTAGTTCTAACTGAGCTACAGTGACAGGACCAAAACCACTTCCCTGGAGCGGAATTTATAGCTCAGTGTGGGTGAGGCTCTTTTCCTTGGAGAGAAACACTTCTCAGCACCCACTGCAGCGGAGCAAGAACAATGGTTAGTACTGGCCAGTGGAATGTGATTACAATGGGCAAATCAAAGCAACAGAAATCACCCAACCTCTGGTCCTTTCCCAGCCTAAAACCCTGAATTACTTCTTTCAGGGGACAACCCTGAAGAAATCTGCAGTAGGATTGGCGTGAGAGAGAAATTGACTTTCAAGTCACTGAAACATAAGGTCCCCTCACCTTGAGGTTGTTAAATAGTTGTGATTGGGGAGGGGTGTTATGATTTGTTATTGTAATATAACTCTGCCTTCTTGACCATGCTACAGACAACTGGCCCAAATGCACAACTTGCCAGTTTTATCCAAGAACAATGTGAAATAGGAAACCAATCTGAATGCGCAACTTAGTCATTGTCTCACACAGCTCTGATGTCCAGAAGTTTGGGTGAATTTTAAAACCTAGAATGCAAGTTATGAAATATATGAGAAGTACATAAACTGAGGCAACACTGGGAGACATGATGTAATTTTTAAATGATAAGAAAGCTGTGCATTATCCTAACTGCATAACAATATGCTCTTCAAAAACATGAACAGGAAATACTATGATAATATTGTCAAGGAGCTATATTTTTTTATGATATTTTCATTTGTACTTTCTGAAGTTTTCCAGCTTTTCAAAAGTTTATGATTTAATGACCACATTTTAAAAAAGGAAAAGCATAAGACTGAAGTCAGAAAGTATATCTTAAAAACAAATTTTCCCAAACTCATTTACATTTTTATAGAATCCCTGGGATTGTAGATTAAGCAAACACTGTTGCTATAGTTTATATTAATTTCAGCTAGATCTTTTGAAAGTTTGAACTGGCAAGTTAGAGAAGTCTGTCTTGGATGAGAATAGAGTTCTACAGATTTGTGTGTTAATGAATAATTGTACTTAATTTGAGACTAGAGTGAAATATTCATGGCATCTTGATAGATTTATGCCCTTGGCCTTTTTATGACTAACATTTATTGCAATGTCTGAAATTTTAAAAACTAGCAAAATGATAAAATGTGGAGATGACATAAAGTTGGGAAGTAGAGTTAACATGATTAATGACAGGATAACAGTGATGCCAGAAGACTGGAACAATAACCAAGCTATTGTGATGAACTTGAGCTGGGGGAAATGCAAAGTTTAGCTGCACAAGTTCAGTTGCATCAATAGAGGACTGAGCAGATGAGCATTCCTGTAAGAATCAAACCTCAAGAGTAGCCCTTTCTGCCATGCCCTTGTTTAGTTCCCTGAACGATTATTTGGGACTTAAGCATCAGAATTTTTCAGTAGTCTTGGCAAGATATCTTGAAGGATTTTTCTTGAGTAGACTTTGAGGTATAGAAAGAAAGATGGGTTCTAAAAGTGCAAAAGGGATAACCTACGAACATAACAGGGGAATCTAGAATTATGGGTTGGCCTTTTCACTTCCTGGATGGAAAAAAAAAAAAAACAAGGTTTACAGAGGGATGCAGCAGTCATAAGGAGTGGAACAGGAGGCTTTTCCTGACTGAAATGAATTTTAGTTGTTTTGGAGTAGGGGGGCTATGGGGGAAAACAGGGCAAAGTCAGACAACTTAGAGAGTCTTCCTTTTGGTAGTATGGAATCGCTGTAGGATAACCACATGAATGACACACATCTAAAACCCTGGGATTCTTTCATTCATTACATAACAGCTATATTTTGGAGCAGGTATTCCCATGGAAGTGAAAAAGTAACTAGTCTGGCAAATTTCACTTTGTCTGAAATAGCTTGTGAGTCCGGGTAGTTTCCATGAGCAAAAGTGTTCCTATTCTACTAAAGAATCTATAAAATATGTATTTCCATGGGACCCCACTGATGTCCCAAACCTGCTGGCAAGGAGACCCCTTCCAGAATCCCACCTGAGCACGCCCTGCCACCACTTACTTTTCCGTGGGTGTGCTCCTCCACCACCTCTTCATCACCTCCGCAGTCTGCATCTCTATTTTATTGTGTGACATTTTCATTGAGCTATTGAAATTGGATGTGTCAGACACATTAAAAGCAGTGGCAGTTGTGGCAAGTCGGTTGATATATTTTAAAATAAACCAAGAGGGCCATGTAGATGTCAGGGGGGATAAATTGCTCTGTTTAGCAACAAGTGATTTATTTAACTGCCATCGACAGGGTCCAAGGTAATGGCACCCAGCTTATATTTCTGTAGGGAAAAGCTGTGTTACCTT